CTTTCAGCCCATGATTGCCTTTAATAAGCTTAGTGGCACTAACTCCAACAGCACCAGCAGCAAAGAAACCCGTTTTCAAGAGCCATGTGCTCTGTTGCTTTGCCTTCCTCCATCCCGACAAGTGCTTAGAATACTTTCATGAATGAAATCAAATCTTTGACTTGTCAAAACAGCTTTAAAAATAACTGGAGGCTGTGGACAGCACACTAACACAGGTCTGTGGTAAAGCAGAGACTGTGGTTACTCTGGGGAACTGGTGAGGCCTCATTGTTAGTGGCAGTGAAGAGGGAAGAATCTGCAGCCCAGAGGGTGCAGCCCTGAGGCTCACACTGGCTCTGGAGCTGCTGACCGGAAACTAGGTCACTGCAAAATAAGCTCCAAGTTCCAGTTTTCCAGCAGAAAGTAGAGGCCATGTTAGGGAGTGCACACGTGGGCCACAGGTAGAGAAGTCTGGGCAGTGCCAATCAGCCCTGTGGATTTGGTCCAGCTGCTAGAGACAGGCTTGAGGATAGGACTTCTGTCCTCGGAGTAGAGCAGGAAGAGCTGAGCAGGGCCTGCTCTGAGTCGGTGGAGGAAGTGAGCTGCAAACCCCCAGACGGACCACAAACCCACAGTGGAGAAGGTAGACACGGCCCAGGCTCTTTCCACCCAAACCTCTATCAAGTGTGGGATTCCCACTCAAGAATGTTTAGCTTGGAGAATCCTTTGGCCCCTCTCAGTCCAGACTAACCAGCAGAGACTTAATGAAAATTTCTAGGAAGTGGAGGCCTAAGAAATGTTGGTTTAAGGACACCTCAATTCCATAGGTTGTTCCGAAGCTTGGAACAGGTAACAGGAGCTATTAGGAGAAAAGGGCAACATGAAAGTGTTGTACCCAGAGTCCCAAAGACCACCAAGAGCCAGAATCCAATGCAAAAGCAAGGAGTCTTCTTATTTTTATGAGTGAACTCAGGACTCTCCATCCGTCTGACGCAGCAGCAGAGCAGAAGAGACCCCAAGTAACAATAGGGCAGGGTTTTTAAAGCAAAGAGGGGCTTGAGGTGTACAGAATACATAGGAACAGACTCAGGATTGGTTTATGCGAGTAGCAATCATGTTGGTAACTTTTAATTGACTAGGGTTAGTTGGGGGGTTACAGTTACCATTTTTGGGCAGGCCTGGACAAGTCCCAGGCTTTGTCCTTGAGCTGCCATGGAGGCTGGCTGGCCTAGCACGTACTGACTGTGGGGGCTGCTCAGTGGTCCAGGCTCTGTCCTTGACTCATGCACGTAGCTCTAAGTTGGTGAGGGGCCCCAGACAGTAAACAACTGGCTGAACCTTGAGCAGTCAGAGTACATACAGAAAGGGAGCTACTGCAAGGACTATGTCTTTTGTTCATGGCGCTCCCAGAAACTTGCTCAAGTCTCAGGAAACTGAAATTGAGGCCTGGTCATTGAAAGAAGACTTAGCAGCCTGTTATGACATCTGCTTGGTCCTTTAAAGAAGAGGTAAGGCATGGAGTGGCATCCACACCATCGAAATACTGCAATTTGTTCAGTCCCATCCTTTTACATCTACATATCCCAAGTGGCTGCACACTCCAACCAATCAGTGGTTCTTAACCTTCCTAACGCTGTGACCCTTTAACATAGTTCTTCATATTGTGGTGACCCCCAACCATAAAATTATTTTTGCTGCTACTTTATAACTGTAATTTTGATGCTGTTATGCATTGTAATGCAAATATCTGTATTTTCTAGTGGTCATTGGAGACCCCTAAGAAAGAGTCATTTGACTCCACCCCAAGAGGGTCATGACTCACAGGTTGAGAACCACTGACTTAGAAAGCTTTACAATTCTCAGTATCCTGCCTCCCTGAACACGATTACATCAGAATCTCGAGGGATAGGCGTACACATTGCTGATTTTCAAAGCTCCCTAGTGATTTTGGTATCTATCCTTGAATAGAGCCATGGCTGCTTTAATTCTTCATTCGTAAAATGCAAACCAGTAGGAGCATGTCCCCTGGCATTGGCTAGAAATGCAGAATCCCCGGGGCCATCCCGGCCCTGCCCTATAGATGAGAATCCAGATTCACATAGGCTCCCTTCCCTGAGGTAAGTTTGAGAAGTGTAGGTTTTGGTTGGTTATTAGTTGGTTTGGTTTGGTTTCTTCAGACAGATTCTCATATAACCCTGCCTGTCCTGAAACTCGGTATGTAACTAAGGATGACCTTGAATTTCTGATTCTTTTCTCTCAGTTTCCCAACTGGTGAGGTTAGAGGCTTGTATGGCCATGCCCTGCTAAGAAGCACAGTTCTAAGGACACTGAGAACAGTGAGTCATACCCTTGAACTCACCTGGGGAGCTTTAAAAATATATATATATTGGTGTCTGAGGCCTGGTCTGAAGCAAATGTTTTGCGCCCAGAACCAACATGAAGGAAAGGAGACCCAGAACGGGGGAGGTGGAAAAACCCTGGCAGTAGATCAGCCCCTCGGTGCAGGTAACTGTGATGAGGCCAAGGCACAACCCTGTAACGTCCAACTCACCCACTCAGTAGAGAGACATGGGAGGAAGAGGTCTGGTTACCAAGATACCAGCCCCTCACCCCGAGAGTAGCAGAAGAGGGTGGCCAGTAGATGTGAAGCTGGTAAGAATGAGACATATTTTCATAGTCACCCTCGAAACCCCTTGATAGTTTACTATGACCATGGGAGCTGAGCCTTTTAACAAGCTCCCAGGAGATCTGCTGCTGCTGCTGCTACTGTTGCTGCTGCTGCTGCTGCTGCTGCTGCTGCTGCTGCTGCTGCTGCAGTGGTGGCTGTGGCTGCTGCTGTTATGGGTCCGGGGATATTGAGACACTCACCAGTCGAACAATGAATGAATTTTAACAGACAGGCTTTATTAGCTGCTGGCCAGGACCACACCCAAGACTCTAGAGTCTCAAAGTGTGTCCCCAGCTATTGTTAGTCTGGGGTTTATAAAGACAAAAAACACAAGGTTGCAGTTTGGGGGTCAAGTTAGTAGACATCCTGCCTACATGCAGGCACAGCTTAACTTTGGTGACAGATGTCTTGCAGATGCCTCAGTTATCTCGAGCAAGCAAGCATTTTCATACCGAAGCAGAACCAGCAGTTTGCCTTGTGACCCATTACCTTGCAAGAACAGTAGAGGCAGTTAAACATTTTTATAAGACTAGGCAGTTTTTTAAGACTAGCCAAAATATTCCAAGAAGTCATCTGTCTTGGGTAAATTAGTGACAGGGTGTAGATGTGACCAACCGTCTTATTAAATAAGAAACATAGAAACAATGTAAAAGAGAAAGCTGAGAGGTCAGAGCTCAGAGCTAAAATCTTACCCTTCCTCCTGCGTGCTCCTAGCTTCCCACAAGAGAGCTATTTCCTGTGTGTAAGTCTTTTCATAGTCTTTTGTTCTGCCTTCTCATTGGTTGTAAACCCAAACACGTGACTGCCTCGTCACTGTCTGTATGTACAGCCCCCCAAGTCTTAAAGGCGTATGTCTCCAGTGCTGGCTGTATCCCTGAACACACAGAGATCTACCTAGCTCTTCTACCAAGTGCTGGGATTAAAGGCGTGTGCCACCACCACCACCACCACCACCACCACCACCACCACCACCACCACCACCACCACACTCTTGCTATGGCTCTAATAGCTCTGACCCCCGGGCAACTTTATTTATTAACATACAATCAAAATCACATTTCAGTACAATTAGAACACCACCACAACAGGGTACAGTTTACAAAATGTTTATGAGCTAGAGCAGTTGCAGAGTGGTTTCTGAATTTTAAACACAATGTTAATCATCACATCCTCCCTTTGAGTTGTGTCCTGGGTGAAATCCTTGACTCTGTGGTGGGTGCCTGTTTATACTGGGACCTAATAGCCGTTAGTACAGTAGCACCCAAGTATGAATTTATTTATCTGGTTAAGGCATTGATGTTGCAGAGACCAAGAGTTACCAGCAGGAGCAGGAGGGCTGAGGGCCCTGTAATGGTGACAGCAGAGTTGCTAGCCAGGAGAAACCTGAGAATGAGAATGGGAGCCATTTGTCGTCCCCCCCCCCCTTTAGGGCCTTCTCCTTTTCTGCCAGGTTTTTCTGGAGCAGAGCTGGGTTATCTCTAATGATTCCCAGATCATTTGCATAGGAATAACAATTCTCCCCTAAAACCATACAATAACCTCCTTGCTCTGCATAGAGCGGGTCCTGTGCTGTAGAACCACCTCAGCTAATAAATCCACCTCTTTTTCTAGCTTAGCAATAGATTTTCTTTTCTAATATGGATAGATCTTGGGTGATTTGACATCCTATATTTTTGAAGTTAATGTCAGTCATCGCTGTTCCTGTGGTGCCAGGAGCAGCAGCTTCTGCTGTAGCAAAGTTTGAGAGGTATGAGGAGGGGAGACACACATTGGTTGGTTGGTTGGTTGGTTGGTTGGTTGGTTGGTTGGGTTTATTTCCCTGCACAGGGGGACTGGAAGAGTCTGTGAATATAAGTGCTCTGTCTCTGCTGGATCATCCTAAATATACATTCGGGGGAACAGAGACACCAAGATAAAGAATTTGTGGGCTTGACGCATATGCCAGATAGGCAAGCATGCATGGGTGTAATCCATCAGTCCGGATGAGGCAAACCGTTTCTGCCAGGTGGTGAAGGAAGGAATGAGCACCTGGCAATGTGGTTGCCAAAAGCCGAGAGATATTTATGATGAATCTGCATTTATTCTTAAAGGGGGATTTGAACATACTATAGCTCTTTGAATCAGAATGGGTCCCCTCACCTTGAATTCAGTCTGGGTTAAGATATTTGATGGTTGGGGCTGGAGAGTTGATGGTCAGAGCTGGAGAGATGGCTCAGTGGTTAAGAGCAAGGGCTTCTCTTCCAGAGGTCGTGAGTTCAATTCCCAGCAACCACATGGTGGCTCACAACCATCTATAGTGGGATCTGATGCCCTTTTCTGGCATAAAGTTATACATGCAGACAGAACACTCATACATAAAAATAAATTTAAAAAGAGAAATTTGACAGTCAAGTGGAAAGACTCCCGTGGACAGTTGGCAAAGGGAGTGATTGAAATGGGGTTCTGATATATAGAGAATCCTACATAGTGTGAGGGCTTGGGAAGATATAGAAGCAACAATCAGATATAACATTTGGATTAGCAACCTTCATGAGCAAGTGCGTGGTAATAAAATTGTCATTAGGTGATCAAAGGAGGCCAGAGGAGTAGGGCTAAGGAGAGAGAGAAAGGTGGTGGTGACGGGAAGTGATGTCAGCTGGTGAACCCCACCAACAGGGCCAGGGCAGGTATAGTGGCTGGTTCCGTTATAGCATTCAAATAAAGGAATTCTAAGGTGTGAACTCGGCTAAAGCTCTATAGATGAATATCTTAGTCTTCCCATCAAAGGCTGAATCCTTCTCATTGTGTCTATAGACAAAACCCACAACCCCTTTTTTCCATCTAATATCCCAAGGGTCAGGGATTAAGTAGTTGACCTTAGTATGCCAATCAACTGAGGTGAGTTTTGATGGATTTTCTCCTCCCCATCTGGTCCAAGTACTATGATATTTGCAGCTCCAGTGTGGACATCCTCCATAATTTGGGTCCTTACAGTCGGGCCGAGTTTGCTCATACATAAAACAGACATATATAGGAGAGGACATAGCATTGTAGAAGTCATTTATACATTTCCCTTGGCAGGTGTCCCTTATATCAAAAGTGAGGCTTATAGCACTTGCACATCCTGTGACTGGACAGAAGGTAGAGCCTATGGTCTTGTTGTGATTTTCCAGGGCAATTACATGGAACTTCCATGCCTTAGGGGCTGGTTTGGTTAGTACAGGAGCCCGGGGAGCTGGGCGTTTCCCATTTGGGTTCCCAGAAAGAACAGAAGGGAATATAGCCAGACAAAACAACAGCACTAAATTAAACCCCATGTCACGATTATCTTTAGTGGATCTTCGCAGGTCTTGATGACAATCTGCTTTTCTTTAGCTAGGCTGTCGTTCCCAGTGGCACACGTGACCTGAGAGTGATGTGGCCAGGTGTGGGACGCTGGACACAGTGGAGGCGATCAGGATGACGAGGTGTGGTGGCTTCCAGTGGGGTCCCAGTGCCTCAGCTCAGTGTCTCTTGATCCACACCTTCTCTCCTGGCTGGAAGCGGTGTGGATGAGGTGGTGGACTTCAGAAAGCAGCCTGAAGCGAGGAGGCCACAGTACCCGGAGTCAGCTGCAGAGCCTGTACAGACTGAAACAGTTGATGGTTAGGAGTTTCAGTGGCTAGTTCCATATGAGGGAGGATGGGAGGAGGTCTCCCAAAGAGGATTTCAAATGGAGTTAAACCTTTTCCATAAGGAGTGCTTGGATCCCTAAGAAGGGAAAAGGGAAGGAACCCCACCTATCTTTTGCCAGTCTCCAAAGTTAATTTAGTCAAGGTCCGATTTGGCCTCTCTATTTGTCCTGAACTTTGAGGATGGTAAGCACAATGTAATTTCCAATTGGTCCCAGAACAGCAGAAATGCACTCAGTAACCCTGGATATAAAGGCAGGTCTACTATCTGACCCTATGAACAATGGCAATCCAAACCTAGCCATTATCTCATCCTTTTCAAAATGTGTTTCTGCTCTTAGTTTGTGGAGCAGGTCACATGCCAACAGAGGTACAGACACTCGGGCATAGCTAGGAAAGAGTGCCTCAGAGTCCCCTTTCCCAGGCCCACAGTTCTTTGGGGGTCCAAGAACAGATTTGTGAACCAGTAGCTTCTTGTACTACAGTTAGTTTCTTATTCACTGGCCCACCTGCCTGCTTTAAAACCAAGGAAGTGGCTCCCATATCCACAAGGAAATTGATGGGAATCTGCCCCCCAGCACACACGCACACACTTTCAGAGTAATTCCGGGCTCCGGGGGAGGGGTGGCTAAGCCCAGACCCTGTCAGTCTGTGTCTAACTGGAGCATAAATGCAGACCTTTGCTTTTGGTTTGGACATTCGTTTCTCCAGTGGTTGGCTTCTTTCCAGTGAGAACATTCATTCCTTTGGGGGCACTTGCCTTTCCAATGGCCGGTTTCTCTTTCCTTAAGGGAGCGCCTCTCCCAGCATCTGCTCCCCTTGGCCTTTGTCCTTCTTTCATAAACCTTGGATGCTGAAGTTCTGCTCCCTGGTAAGCTGCCACCATAATCTTAGCTAATTGCTTAGTCTGCCTGTCCTCCAGGGTATCCCTGTTGTTGTATCCCTGGGAGGCGATCTCACCCAGCTCTGACAGTCAGTACCTTGCCTCCTTCAGAGGCCTCGATTTTCTGAGTCTTTCTCCCAATGTCTGGTGCTAATTGAGAAACATAAGCTGTATTGATAGCCCTTTGGTTTTCTGGGACTTCCCAGTCAATCGATAAACATCTAGGAGGCGCTCCAGAGAAGCAGATGACCAATCATCGGAACCCTGAGTTATCTGACCTACCTTAGACAAATTTGGGGGGCACTTAGCTTCGGCCCAGAGATGCCGCCCCCCAACAGAGTCTGGTGAAAGAGGTTAAAAGACTCCCTATCTTTGTGGGAATTTGGATCCCAATCTGGCTGTCAGGAAGGAAAGACTTCACATTATCACCAGATCAGCAGTCAATCACCCATCATTTCCCAAGACCTGCTTTTGAGTTTCTCATCAGACTCCTTCTTCTCTGTGGCGAAGAGGGTTTGAAGTAGCTACTGACAGTCTGCTCAAGTCAGTCAGTGTGTATAAAACACCATTTCTAGCAGAGAGATTAAGCTTTGGGGTTTTTTTTTTTGAGAAAGGGAGATTTTGGAGCTTCCGGTTACACAAATCACTAGTAGAGAAGAGAACACAGACCGGAACTGACCGATGGCCCCTCCCACCTTCCTCATCCTGCATGGCTCCCCATGTTGGATTTTCTCTAAAGGGGAAGATAGCTAGAGGTGGAGATCTGGGAGAAGTGTGTGGGGTGGGGTGCGGTGGGGGGCAGCACAAGTGAATGTCCTGCATTGGGCAATCTAGGGGCTACAGGATGTGTCCCTGAGGGGGAGAAAATGTGGACTATCACAACCTCCTCAGTGAGAGTAGGCAGAGATGAGGTGCCTGAGAGACAGTCGCAGGGGGACCGGAGGCCAGAGTCAGAGACAGTGAATGATGGGCAGACCGGTTGGTAAGAGGACCCACTCCAGGTGTGAGCAGGACTCATGAGTGCCTCTGGCCACAGATTCCTCTCCCTGCCTAGTGCCCAAGGCCTGCAGGGTAGGGGCACATCGTTTCTTCTGGTGGAGCTGGTGGGACTGGAGGCTGAAATTTGTCCTGCCCCTCGGTCTTCTTGATTTCTTCTGAAACAAAAATGGTGCCTTTAAAGGGAAGATTTGGCTGGTACTTTCTCATCCGGGATGGAGATTCCTCTACCAGGAACCTCCTAAGTGTCCTGGTTTACTAAAGACCACATGTTACACTCTGTAAATAAGAGAAAAGTTGAAGGAGCCTTCACCGGGCCAGCCTACCTGAAATGAAGGCCAATCAAGGAAACAAAAGGCCGTTAGTTTTCCTATATGGACCTGTTCTCCAGACTCCTTGGCTTTTCTCTGCAAGTCCTTAAAATGAGACTTCATCAGATCTAAGGGGGTCTTTTGGGGAGAAGACTTTCTGTCTGATCTTTTCAATTTCTTCAAGAATGAGAAATGACCCAAAAAGCAACCCACACGACACAAAACAGACAGACAGTATTCTCCAACTTGGTGACCAACCCCTGCTTCTGGAAAACTCCTAGAACAGAACAACAGGGGAACGAAAGTGACCAGTGGTTCCCCACGGCTTGGGAATCGATGCTGCGACCAGCTTTCCCAGGAGTCTCACAGACAGATGAGTGCTGCAAACAGAAGGTTACCTCTCTGAGGGCTTCAGATGCCTCTTTTCGACAATCCAGGTGTTCAGAATCTGTCAATGGCTCCCTCCGAATGCTGGGTTTATCCGAACCTCTCACCTCCCAGTCCACCAGAGATTTTCAGGGTCCGAAGACTCCTCGGTGAGATCTAGGCGGTGAAGACTGTTGACTCCAATGGGTACTCTGGGGTTTATAAAGGCAAAAACCACAAGATTGCAGTGTTGGGGTCAAGTGAACACACATCCTGCCTACGTGCAGGCACAGCTTAACTTTGGTGACAGATGTCTTGCAGATGCCTCAGTTATCTTGAGCAAGCAAGCATTTTCATACAGAAGCAGAACCGGAGGTTTGCCTTGTGACCCATTACCTTGTAAGGACAGTAGAGGCAGTTAAACATTTTTAGAAGACTAGGCAGTTTTTAAGACTAGCCCAGGGGCTGGAGAGATGGCTCAGTGGTTAAGAGCACTGACTCCAATTCCCAGCAACCACATGGTGGCTCACAACCATCTGTAATGAGATCTGGTGCCCTCTTCTGGCCTGCAGGTGTACATGCAGGCAGAACACTGTATATGTAATAAATAAATAAAAACCTTTAAAAAAAAAAAAAAGACTAGCCCAGATATTCCAAGAAGTCATCCGTCTTGGGCAAGTTAGCTGACAGGGTACAGTTTACAAAAAGCTGACAAGCTAGAGCAATTACACACAGATTTCTTAATTCTAAACATAGTGTTGACCGTCACGCTGCCGGCACCTCACATCGATCGTATAGTAAGGTCTGCTAAAGGCAGCAGCCCCATGACCCACCCCTCACAGTTACTGCTGGAAATAGCAGGATCTGCTGCTGTAACAGAAGGGACTGTGAAATTGGCGGGTGGGTATGCTAAAGCTTTCCTATGCCTTGCGGCCTTGAGAATAGCAATGGTTAAGAAACCACATCCCACACTCTGCCCCTTTGTGCTTGAGGAACGACTCACTACAAAGGACTCCTCTGTTCCTGTGACTTGGATAAGACTCCAGCTCTCCCCTTGTCATCTAGACAAGGCCAAAAGGACCACCAAGTTCCCATTTGTAGCCTCATAAATGATGATTTACTAACCTAGGTGTGATGCCTCACACCTGGAGTCTGAGGCAGGAGGATTATAAATTCAAGGTTAGCCTGAGCTATATAGCAAGACTGTCTGAAAAGAAAAAAGAAAGAAAAAGAGCCAAAAATAAATGATTTCTGGAGCTGTTTGTCTCTTTGGTCATTCAGAACAGGATTCTTGTTAGCCAGACTTCATTTAAGGTTCTCACCTCCCCCAACAGGTCTCTGAGATTTGGTCTACCTTCAACAGGAGAAGCACACCATCCCCCTGATGAAAGGGTACCCTAAGATGCGGCAAACTCAGACACTGCAGGTCCATGCTGATGAGAACAGGAGATAGGGACTGGTTAGGAAGAGTCAGGGGCAAGGACTCAGAACAAGAACAATTCGAACTCTTGTAACATCCTTGGTTGTGTCCTGGCTGGAGGGCAGGCAAGTCAGAGGAGGGCTGGGATTCCTTACTGACTTCTCATAAGTGAGCTAGCCTGCCTGGAGGTTGTATACAAAGTGTGACCCAAACTCTAGTTCAGACACTAAGACCTTCTGGACAACTTTGGAATTGGTCTTCTAAGTTTACATGATGGGAGTGAGTTATATGGATTCCCCACTGCCCAGTTCCAGCCCATCTCCTGAATGATTTTAGAGTCTTAATCCTTGAGGTAGGAATGTTACAATAGTCTTAGAAGCCATTAAGGCTATCAGGGCTCTATAGAGGCCCATTAAAGGCAAGCTATTTCTTCCCTGTAAAAAGAATGGAATCTATCTCTGGACCTAGGTGGAGACTTGACATTCTGATCTGCTCCAAAGATTAGAACATGACTTATATTGTCTTTTCCCTCAAGAGTTAATCTATCTGGGCTTGTCAATCACCTGGCTAAGAGACCAACCCTTGAGAAGTGATTGATTGAAAACCATGCTAAGAAGAGGGAGGAATACTTATCCCCTTAACAAGATAATGTCCTTGCTCTTCCTGGAAGCCCACCTCCATGCGGTCACCCCCCAGAGCTTCCACAGCTAGCTCTCAGCCTGAACGTCTACTACTTAACCTTTTTATTTTTTCTCTTTTCTTTCAGATACTGGCTGAAGCCAGGGCATGCTTTGCCAAATACTGAGGGCCTCCTCACTCTGTTTCTCAGAGCCTCCCTCCCTTCCTGCCTGGTAGCCGCTCCTCCACCTCCAACGTTACTCACCCTGCCTGCTTTCTATCACGCTCCCCCTTAGCAATTGCTGAGATGTATGGCTTGCCTGTGCTGCTTTTCCCTTAATCACTAATGAAATTGTCCACAAGCTTCCTTCCAAGTCTGCTGCTTTCCAAGCCTGTCTAAATTCTATTATTAATGAAATTAAGAGCCCAAGAGGAAGACCTCCCCCCTAAAGGCCTCCATCACCACCCCCACCCCTTCCTCTCCCGGTTCTTCCTAGCAGTAATGGTTCACTCTTCCCTGTAAAAAACAAAACCCTTTTTGCCTAATATTTGAATTGTCCTTCTGACCTCAGTCCTGACACCTCTTTAGTGTCGCTTTCAAATACAGCATCTTCAGCACGTCAGGATTTGCACTTTTTTGAGGGGCAGGAGAAGAGGCGCTGTGATGGGGTGACAAAGTGAACAGGTCCTCTTGGGGGCAGCACGTTCTGAGGGAGGACACGGTATAGAAGGTGAAGAGCAGCTCCTAAGAGCATGATGGCATCTGCCCAGAGTCAGCCAGGACGAAGGGGCTGAGGCTCCAGGGAAGTATGCCAGCTGAGAACTGGTGGCCCCACTGGGCGTCATTTTCAATGCTCCCAGCCTCTGCTTTTCACCTCCACAGGTTATATACCACCCCAATGTTGGCCAGATACCGAGGATGGCAGTCTGCCTTGAGCCTGCACCACCTGCCACCTCGGCAGACTCTTTTCTGTAGCAACAGACCCCCTTCCTCCTGCACCCACAACCTCTTCCTATAGACAAGCTCTGTCTCAGGCATGCAAACTTCTCCCCCACCTTAAAACAATGCTAATCCTTGACCTCAAGTCCCAGGGGCTGTCCATTTCTTACTTACAGACAGACACAGAGAGACAGAGAGACAGAGAGAGAGAGAGAGAGGGAGAGAGAGAGAGAGAGAGAGAGCAGAGAGAGAGAGCAGAGAGAGGGAGAGACAGAGAGACACAAGAGTTAAGCATGCCCTGTGCCCCCTTGCCTGCCAGCCAACATGTCCCACCATGCCCCACACATTCCTCATGGTTGAATACCCTCCTCTGCAAGCTTTCCTCTGTGGTGTTTTCGGCCATCACATTTTGTGCTCCTCTTCCTCTCTGGTTTCTCTTTCTGACACTTCTCTGGTTCCCCCTTTTCCTGACCAATGGTACTATCATTCTCTCTCTCTCTCTCTCTCTCTCTCTCTCTCTCTCTCTCTCTCTCTCTCTCTCCCTCTCATCATTCTGACAATGCTGGACATGAATTCGCAGCCCAGCTCTAGCATAAAAGTATCACAAGTGTGGGTATGAGAGAGAATGTCACCGGTAGCCATGTGGGGTGGATCGCCACTGTTACCCTTTATGCTCTTGGGGGGATGGGAAGAGGGAGAGGAGGAGAAGGATTCTTTTAGTGTTTCTCAGAGGTCATAACATGTCTCATGAGCCCCAAAGGGGTCTGTTGGTTTCTCAACCCCTTAATAGTATCTCAGCCCCTTCTAAAGGAGAAGTAGACATTAGCTTCCTAAGGCTTCTTTGCCCTGGACCCAAGCAGCCTGCCCTCTGTTCTACAACATAATCTGCTGCTAATCTCTAGCTAGGGCACTGGGTAAAGCAGTTTTTAAATCCTGGCCCCTGGGCTCATGGCATTTGAGATACATAAATTTGTTGCCATGGTGACGGGGTGACAGATTAATTACCAGATCCTTCTGGAGCAAAGCTGCTTTAACAATGTGGAACCCCAGGATGGGGTGGGGGTGGGTGATCCCCACTCCACCCAGCAAACAGTTGGGGCCATTGGACCCACAGGATGGGGGTGGAGAGAGGCAAAGCAGCAGCCACCACCTCTATCCTAAGTCAAAATTCCCCGGGGCTTCCGGAATCAGTCATGCTTCTAGAAAATGGAGATATATATATAATTTTAAATGACAAAGAACCCAAGAGTCAATGAGATCCTGTGCAAAATGATCAAAGCTGGAGGAATCACAATACCTGGTTTCAAAACATACAAAACATGGGATTTCCGACTGATAAGATACCTGTGCCGTCCTTGTATTTATCTCTTATTTTTTGTATTTACTTTATCTTATGTGTATGAGTATTTCTCTGTGAGTACGTATGTGCACTATGCGCATGTCTGGTGCCCATAGAGGTCAGAAGAAGGCACTGGACTCCCTGGAACCGGAGCTACAGATGGTTGTGAGCTGGGAACTGAACCCGGGTCCTCTGCAAAAGCAACAAGTGTTCTCAACTGAAGAGCCATCTCTGCAGCCCCAGTGTTGGCCTTTTATCCGAGACTCTGGCCAGATGTTATGTGACCTTTGTGTCTGCTTAGTTGATTCCTACAACACACACACACACACACTACTACCACCCAGCTGTTCCTAGCTGAAGATCCCCGGGAGCAACTGGCTACCAAAGTGACGCTCCACGGGAGTCCTCCTGCCAAGAATGTGCTTCTTCAAAAGGAGAGAGAAGCAAAGACTCCACTGAGAACCTTTAGGGACAAGTCAGAATGTGGTCCCTGTTTTTTACGTAAACAACATTGGAAAGTTACCTAAGTTTTGCAGATAAGCCTGTCCCTGTTAGTTCTGGGACCTTGCTTCTTATCTCTTTTGCTTTCCTTGGGCCCTCTCACAGCTCCATGGTCTGACACACCATCTGTGCTCGGTGAGTTTTATGTAAGCTTGACACAAGCTACAATCACCTGAGAGGAGGGAACTTCAATTGAGAAAATGCCTCCAGATGACCCCGCCATAGGCAAGCCTATAGAGCATTTGCTTAATTAGTGATTGATGGGGGAGGGCTCAGCCCACTGTGGGTGGTGCCACCCCTGGGCTGGTGGTCCTGGGTTCTTTAGAAAGCAGGCTGAGCAAGCAAGCCAGTAGGCAGCACCCTCTATGGTCTCTGCATCAGCTCCTGCCTCCAGGATCCTGCCCTGTTTGTTCTATCCTGATTTCCTTGGATGATGAACAGTGATGTTTAAGGCATAAGTCAAATAAACCCTTTCCTCCCCAACTTCCCTTTGGTCACGGTGTTTCACCATAGCAATAGTAACTCTAACTAGAACAGGCTTCTAAGCACTGGGAACCCATGTACCACTGACTTCTACACATCCTCACTGACTTTGCTTATAACAGATCTGACA